CTAACATTTATATTTTTGAAGATATTAGGGTTCAAAGTGGCAAAATTGACGTATTTTTATCATTATCTGCCTTCATTCAATTAATCATATCTTAAAAACTACATAATTGTAAATAACGAATTTAATATCAAAATTACGTACAAATAATATAAAAATTTTCTCTACTCAATTTTTTAAAATAATTTGATATTTTTAAAATATTACAAATATTAATTTATTATTATTATGAAATTATATACAAAATAAAAGTATTATCATAAAATAACCCAAAACAATATAAATATTGGATCGGATTTTCTAAAATCGGCATAGCCTTACTAAATTAGAATAACTATAAATAAGTGTTTCAATCAATAAAATAAATAAAAATTTTAAAATTGATTAATTATTCAATAATACATGCTCACTATATTAATTCATTTTTAAATTAATTTATTGGTATTTTGATTTCTATCAACACCTAACCCCAAGCCTGAAAAAACTACAGACGAATATACAGTTAAAATTGTACAAGAATTTTATTGTATGTACGAAATAAGCAGAATCATGCCAGGCAAGAAAGATTGCGTTTCGATTTTGACCAAAGACGGAAAAAAGAATACCATACATAAGAGATTAATTTTAGATAATTTGAAAGAAATTCATATATTTTTTAAAGAAATGAGGCCTGATGTTAAAATTGGTTTTTCGAAATTTGCAAGCATTCGCTCAAAAATTGTATACTCGTTGGAGGTAGTGGCACACATGTATGTGATTGCAGCTACCACCAAAATTTTAAATTAATGATAATTGGGTCAAATTTACCCAATTTAACCAATGATATGTTGCCTTTTTAAACATACAAACATATTTTACACTTAATAATTTGTAATTCGCCTCAACCATCCAGTTTATATAAGCAAATGTGATAATTGTCCAGGGTCAACACATTTACGCGATCAAATAGAAATATTGTTTCGTTCTAAGGACATCGAATTTATAACATACAAACAATGGCTATCCGTAGATAGAACCACTCTTGAAACAATAACCAAACCAGTAGGTGAATTTAGCAATGCCTTTTTTGAAAAAATGGAATCTTTATTACTCCATTTTTTTATTTCAACGCAACAATCGTTGTATCAAAACAATCTAAAATTGAACTTAGACGAAGACCAATATTTAATTTTATGTGATTTTTAAGAAAACTATAGATTTATACTTCAGGATGAAGTACAAAATTATCATTGGAATAGGGCTCAATCCACTGCTCACCCTTTTGTTATATATTATTATGATAATTTTGCCAATATTTGTTGCCTAAATTATGTAATGATATCCGAATCTTTGCAACACAATACAATAACAGTACATAATTTCAAAAAAACATTGGTAAATTTTTTAATTAATAAAATTTGTAGGCCAAATAAAAATTTTTATTTTTCCGATGATAAAAATCGTAAAATTTTATTAATATTTGCCATCATGAGATGGATTTCGGGGTACAGGCGAAATGGCATTTTTCTGCTATAGCACACGGGAAAAGTGTTTGTGATGGGATTGGTGGCACTGTTAAAAGATTAGCCGCTAGAGCTAGTTTACAAGGCCTTACTCAAAGTAAATAACCACATCATATGAATTGTACGAGTTAAATAAAGAAAATATTAATGTCATATATTTTGAATAGATGACCAAAATAAATTATGATTACGAAGATCTATTACTCGGGGAAAGATTTTCAAAAACTAGATCTATACCTGGAACACACAAAATACACACCTTGATTCCCACAGATCTACATCAATTTAAAAGTAAAATGTATTCCAATTCAATAGAAAGTACTATAGAATAGTTATCATAAAAGTATAATTATTGAAGAAATATCAGGATACCTAACGTATCCTTATGATTCTAATTGGTGGTTAGCTTTGTTTTAGTGAAAAATTAAAAGCAGGAAGAAATATATATAAAGTTTTTAACCCATCCGGACCTTCTAATTCCTTTACATTTCCAAGTATAGACGACACTCTTTACTTGCCCAAATGTCATATCTTAACATTAGTTTCATTGTTAACTGCTACTGGCCGTAGTTATACATTGTTGTCACAAGAAAGTAAATGCGCTACTGAAAAATTAGAATCTTTTAGTGAGTTGTTTATTAGATTTTTAAATTTAAATTATATCAATTTTTTTAATATTTAGGGCGCCATATATGAAATGCACAAGATTCTGATTCATATATTCAAGAACTCGAAACTTAATTGAACATATTTTATTAATATTCATTAAATATATGTTATATGAGCAAAAAATTTTATAATAAATTATAAAGTAATAAATTGAATTTCTTTTATCGATAGACAATCTATAATTGAATGAAAGCCCCATTTATTGTTATTTTCACTTACAAGATGAATAATCCTTTAAATTATATCAAATAGTCCAAGAAAAACCATTAAAAACTGATTAACATATAATTTTATACAAAGCGCACCCTTTCGGGACAATATTTATACACTTTTCTAAACATTTTTATCGATTTTGAGAATAAAGATGGCCGCGTCCCAGATTAATTTTTTTTTATAAATATAAAGGAAGAGTTTAATAATCTCTACTAAATTTTTTTTAAAAATTGAAGGTCGTATTATTTCCAAAAAATTGTTTTTAGTCCTTATATATTAAATAAAAATACCGGAAATTGGAAAAAAAATTAAAAAATTTATCTAAAAGTAGAATCTTGTACGTAATTTTGATATTAAATTTGTTATTTACAATTATGTAGTTTTTAAGGTATGCTTAATTGAATGAAGGCAGATAATGATAAAAATACGTCATTTTTGTCACTTTGAACCCTAATATCTCCAAAAATATAAATGATACGAGGCTAAAATTTTGGCTATTTCTTAACTACACTAACCTCTCTTTGCTTACCAAATTTTAAAAAAATCGCAGTGGGTCGGCCGAATCGTGGTTGATTTGTCATGGAATGACCCATAGTCAAAGATATATACAAATCATACTATAAGTTTTTCTTATATTTATAATAAAAAAATTTACTTATCAGCTAATTTTTAGACCCCCACTTTAAAACATTCTTTTTTTCAATTCAATCAATACTTTATAGAAAATAATTATTTCTAGAATGAATTAACAGCAAAATTTGTGAGGAAATTAATTTATCTAGTATAAATAAAAAATTATATTTATAAGAAATTTCATTAATATGCAAAACTATTTACTTTGTGGTAATCTTATGTTGATGTAGTTTGAAGAGTCTAATTTAATTAACAATACCATCAAAAATTGCCTGTTCCCTATAAATTAAAATTTATCTCAAGGAGCCAATATTTAAATCAATAAATGATAACACCCCAGCATATCATTTAAAATATTGGGCTGTGAACTGACATAAATATCCAAATCTTTCTAAATTTGCTTGCCTATATCTAGCAAGACCTGCCACAAGTATATCATCAGAATGTGTTGTTAACAAAGCTGGTGATATTGACAGTTCTCATCGACGTAGGCTAACCTTGATAAACTAGAAATTTTGATATTTCTGAAAAGAAATCTTCAATATATTAATTTTAATGATTAATTTAAAATTACTTAGCATATTTGTTTAATTACTATTATTATTTTAAAAAAATATTTTGTATACTTTTACACATTAAAAAATTAAATATGTGTAAAGAACACAATCAGATATGACATTGGACCAGATTGGTAAAGTGGTATTGGTATACCCCTATAAAATATATAGAATAAAAAAATAATGAATGAATTAGAATTTAAACAATTTTTTATTATTATTGTTAAAATATAAGAAATTGTTGGAATAAGCTTAAATAAATGTTGAATATTTTTTATTAAAAAATTAATATATTATATTAAAAATTTACTATGTTAAAAAAAAGAACAATTTTAAAAAAAACAAAATATTATATTTAAAAGAAAAATACTTAGTGAATAATTTGGGTCAAGAATTTTTAAACATTAAATAATTGGAATGAATTAAAGAATTCCCTTTTTAGAATATAAATGAACTTAAAAAATTTATTTAAAAATAAAAAAAAATAGCTAATCAATCAAATCTTTTATTTCCATACCATGAATAAGAAAATTTGTTTATTTTGTTTTTTTAACCCTTCAATACTCTGGTGGGGTATATGAAATCCCAGGCATGCTAGAAATGATATTACATAAAAATGGTTAAATATTATGATCTGGATTCTTCAGTAGCTTCATCAAATATATCTTAGAATCTAGATTCCAAATTTCATATATTAGGTTGAGTAGTTTTTAAGATATAATTTTGTGACTGATTGGGGTTTGTGAGACCCCACTAGAGTAAATTTGTATGTTCTGTATTTTTTTTATATTTGAATGTATTAGTGTAATTTTTTTTATATTGAAGAATAAAGATCCATATTATGAATTATCATGATTATATGATAGATAAGTTATTTATTTTAATTTTATATTTGAAATTTAAAAAAAGTAAGCTTTTTTAAAAAATTTTGGCACAAATTATAATTATCCTCACCATCTTTAATCTAGGCTTAAAAAATAAAAATATTTTATCAAGCTTAAGGTTAGATCTATCCTATATCATATCAAATGAATATTAATGGAGATATACACATTTGAAATTGGAGTCTATTAAACCCCACCCAAGTACTAACGTCATTTTTTTTCACCAGAGTATTGAAGGGTTAAAGAATTTTGTAAAGTAATGTTACTTTTTAAAGTGTTTTTACAAAATTGTTTTTACCAAAGTTTGAAAAAAATTTTCAAAAATTTTTATTGATTTCATTTTAAAAAATTTTCTATGCATGAAAATTACAAAATAAATAATTTTTTAGATTTTGGTAATTTTAGGTAAATCAAAAATTTTTGTTCTTCAAAAAAAATATTCAAATTTAAAAATTTTTTGAAGATTTTTTCAAACTCCAGTTTTTATGATTCTAGACTAGTCTTTATATTCATTATGATAAATTTCAATTGCAAATATATTAAACCTAGACCAGCACCCATGTGGGCCCCTTTGACTAGCCCTGCTATATCTACAACTGTTAAAAACGATGGGACGCGGGATGCAGGGTTATAGATGCTACACAGGTAATCGAAGCGGGCATCAGCGACACGACAACGCGCCTCATTGGGTTCTATAGTGCAGAAAGGGTAATTGGCGGCCGCAGCGATTTGAGTACGAGTTAAAGCGTTGAATAAGGTCGATTTTCCAACGTTGGGTAGGCCTACCAATCCGATTTTGAGTGACGTGCCAAAACGGCCTAATAGTGGTAGGGATTTGTTATCAGAAATTTTTTTGCTCATATTCAATCTAAAATATAATATATAGCTTATTTAATTTTTTAAAATTATGCAGTATTACTTATCGTCGGGCAAACTCACTAATTTGACAAAAAAAATTCAGTACTAATAAAATTCCTATTAACTACTATTTGTCTTGATAAGAAAATGCCTAAGTTAAGCAAAAACCTTGGTCTTAATTGTGCCTATATTAGATAGGTTTTATTGTATTTAGAAAACTTATTCTAAATTTAGAGCATAATATTTTTTTTTACTTTTATTGTCCAAAGATAGATGGCATAAGGCCAAATCTGCATTGAAATGGAAGGGGGGGGGGGGGTAAGAAGTTGTGAATAGTATTGTTAGATCAATTTAGCAGATTTTAAATTATTAATTTAAGACCAAAACAATATTATATAAGCTTCGAGACTTGGTTAATAGATGGCTAAACCTTTCTGTAATTATGAATAATCCACACCAGACTTGCATAATATTTTTTGACTAAAATATTGGGTTTATTGTTTTTAAATCGAGCCATTTAACAATAGTTGTGAAGAGCCATTCATCATTAGGATTAAGGTGATGGGAAGTATGGTAAAGGGTCGTAGAAGGTGAATATATATTAATAAATAAAATAGCCTATATAAATCAACAATGATTCAGTTGACCCCCTTCGATTTTTTTTAAATTTGGTAAGCAGGAAAAGGTTCATGTGACCAAGTAATAGCCATCATCAGCCTTCTAACAATTATAATTTTAGAGATATTAGAAGTCAAAGTGGCAAAAATGTTGTATTTTTACTATCTAAAAATTACATAATTGTAAATAACAATTCAAAAAATTATAATTTGATAAAAAAAAAATTTTCCAATTTCCAACCATCTTATTTATAAGAATTAAAAAATATTTTGTGGAAATAATACTATATTCTACTAAACTCCTCCATTATATTTTAAAAAAAAAATCGGTCTGGGAGCAGGGTTGCTTTGTCTCCACCCATCAGTGGGAGACTCGCCATTTTTTAGTTTACATGTAGACATATCACTCCTGCAAAACTACCATAATTGGAAATCTCTTGCAAAAATCTGCCTCAATTTTTTAAGTTCTCCTGCAATTTTTTTAGCATTTAAACGTTATTATATATAAATAATAATTTTGAGAGACAGTAATTGATTATTTTTATATTTTTAAAATAAATTTTAAATATTTATTCGAAAACGTGTCTAGTTTGTAAATTTCTTTCTATCCTGTTTTATTTTTATCCAATAATAAATCAACATAATTTCATTCATATAAGTCAGTACAGAAGAGTATAGCAACAGATTGCAACACAAAAATATTCTCCAAAAATAATAAATAATACAGATGCAACTACAGTTGTGGAAATCTGTAGTTAACATTCACAGAGCTATCTATCATCACAATGTGGGTCGAATCTTTTCCCCATAATATTTAACGACTCCTATATAAGTGCAAACTTTACTTGTGGCAGAACAAAAATGAGCAAGACTATACTCATATGCAATTCTAACAGATGCATCTAATAAGCGAAATATTAAAACATTTCCCTTGATCCTTCGCTATTTTAACAATAAGGTCATTTCAATAAAACTGTTTAAAAAAAATTCCTTGGATAGTGAAAAATTCAACGATCTAGCTAACCACATAATGGTATATATAGCTGATACAGGGTTATCAATGAGTTGCATGTTAGCTTTCTGTGCTGATAATTCCTCTGTGAATTTTGGCATAAACCAGAGTGAATTTACCGAATTGAGGCATCAAAATAATGAATTAATATCAATTGACTGTATATGCCATATACTACATAATTCTTGCAAGAAGGCAATGAATGTACTGTCTGTGGATATCGAAATATTTGTGAAAAATGTTTTAACAATTTAGTTCATCAACTAAAAGAGTTAAACGGTAGATTTCCAATTGTGGTAGTTTTGCGGGACATTCGCATAACATATATTTTTTACATTGTAAAATTAAAATCGTTTGTTTTTTTATAAAATTTTATCATGTTTACATTCTATTATATTTAAAAAAGATAGCTTGTTTTTTTTATAAAATTAAAATATTTTAATAAATCAATATGTTATTTTAATAATATATATAGTATTTAAAAAATTTTGTCTTGTACTACTTATTTTATTTTGAAAAATAGTTACCTGTACCTGTTTTATTTTGAAAAATTATCGATTTTGTATTATAAACTAATTATTATAAAAAATAATAGGCTGATAACTAAGTCAATTAAAATTTTTTAGCAATTTTTATTTTTCTTCTACAATTTTCAATTTCTCCTGCAAAATAACAAAATTCTCTTGCAATTTGAAAATTTTGACCTGGCAACCCTGTCTGGGAGGCCAGCTTCATCTTTAAAATCGATAAAAATTTGTATAAAATTACATATATTCAGTTTTTAATAGTTTTCCTTAAAATATTTTGATATAATTTATTCATCTTTTAAGTAAAATAAAAATCAAAGAGGGGTTCAATCAATATTCAATTTGTTACATCAATAATTTATTATAAAATGTTTGCCTACATAACTTATATTTAATGAATATTTAATAAAATATGTTCAATGAAGTTAAGAGTTCTAAAATATATTAATCAGAATCTTGTGTATTTAAAATATACCTGATTTCCAAGTTGGGTTTCAAATGTGCGAAAAATTATGAATTTCACAACTATATAATTTTTAAATTGCTTATATCTCAAAAACTATTTAACTAAAAATAAAATACATTTTGCAGGTAAAAAAATCTCTAAAAGGTTTATTGAAAGAAAAGATAAATCTATTTAGAATTTGTATTTAAATATCCATAAACTTCTAAAAATTCAACTACAATTTTAAAATAATTCATATATGAAGAATTAAAACATCCAATAAACAATGAATTAAAATGTAAAAAAAAATGATTTCTTGTTTTAAAATAAAAATTTATTCTTCATATAAAAAATATAATTAATCAGAAGTAATTTGTTAACACATAATAAAGGTGTATCAGAAAAATAATTATTGATAATTCTTTAATGCTTATATAAAATAATGAACTATAATTAGAATATTGAGAACAAATTTATTCACATTATAAAGGTAGTATTTAATTAGTTGATATTGACCAAGAAGATAGTAACACATATAATGTACTTCCAATATTATAAATGTTAAATTAGCATATAAAATTAAAAATCCAGGTATTAAAACATTATTACCTTGTTAAATTATTTACCGGATAAATTTATAATCATAAATAAAAATGTTAAAAAAGCTATACATAATAGTGTCACCTGTCAAATTTATAAATATCATTTGTCAGAATATAGTAGGCATAAAAATTAGCCATATGTAATATCTTTGCCGATCTAGAGATAATTCATATAATATTCTATTATAAAATTACAGCAATTCGCAAATAACTCTTTTAATGGCTTTCAAAATTTTAACAACAGGTTCGTTTCTATAAAAATATTTGAAAATTATTTGAGTCTATTGCCTCTTGCAAATCGAGTGATATAAATAATAATTGTATAATAAAATTTAACATATGATCACTATTATATCTCTCCAATTATAATTGACATTTATAGTGGTTTAATTAATATATTTTCGAGAAGTATTTATAATTGTATATAGAAATGAAATTTTCAACTAGTCGTAACATAGGCGTAGCCAAGATTTTCCTCGATGGGAAGGGGGGGGGATTAAAAAATTTCTGGGGCTTCTCCCGCAGACCCTATTTTGCCCGGTCTTCGGTCGGGTTACCTTAGTCTATATATAGTCATATAATATTTTTAAAAAATAGGAGGTTAATTTTAATAAAAAAAATAAGCCTGGAACAAATATGAAATATATTTCTATTAGTTTATATAAAATATAATAAATTACTTGTATATACATTAATATAAAAGCATAGTAATAATTTATTCTAAACAAATATAAGAAATTTATAAAAAGAAAGTAGAAATATATTTGATATTCCTCTATTATATAGAATTAGTTACAAAATACTAGGTAAAATTCCACTTTTACAGACATATTTGACAATTAGAGAATATATTACAGTTAATATTTTAACAAGTTTTACTAATCAATGCTCTTGATAATTGTTAAGGGAGAAAGCTATTACGCCTAGCACTAAAGGAATATAATGACAAAGTATACGAATAATAAGGAGTTGAATAAATAAATATTTTAAAATAAGTTGATTGACTGTTGATAAATAAAATAATAAATAAACGGCTATGAATTTGTAAAAAAATAAATACATAAGCGCGAAAAAAAAGAAACAATGATTATTTTTATGTACAATTTATATTTTAAGAAAAGAAAAATAAAGAAATAAAATTATCGATTTTCGTGTTTCAAGAGGAAAAAAAAATTGAAGTAAGTAAAAAAAAAACATAGATACATTAAAAAGTAGTTGTTTGTTGTTGTAATACCAGAGTGTTGTTTTGATATTGGTGACTCCGACCTATTAGAAAACATTGTAGAAGGTTTTAAAAGAATTAGAAAACCAGTATTTTTAAAATAAGAAAACATTGTAGAAGGTTTTAAAAGAATTAGAAAACCACATTGGCGTACGCAGCGGGAGAGGACAGGGGGACAAATCCACCCCCCAAAGCCAAAATGCAGATGCCGGACATATTTTTCAAAAATATTATTTTTTATATTTTTATATTTTATTATATTTATTCATATCTATTTCTTTTTAAATTTTTATATTATTACCTTTTTCATTTACTAATTTACTTTATCAATTAATTTCATTTTCAAGTTTTCCTTGTGGCGTAATATTTATCTATTATTTTTAAATTTCCCGGTATTATAATTTTTAAATTTCTAGTCATGGATATTAGACTTTTTTTAAAAAACGCTGAAGGTGAAAATCATGCCAAAAAGCAAAAAAGTATAGTAAAATAATTTATATTTTAATTTAAAAATATTTTTAGCAATTAAACCCCCCCCCCATAATAGCTAATAATGAAAGAATTGTTGAAAAAATAATAGATAGTCAGCATATAGAGCCATCTAAAGGTCTTATTCTAAAAATACATTTGGTATATAATAAATAATTTTACATTTTTATGTAAATAAATAATTATACATTTTTATGTACTTTTGTAGATTTTTTTAAACACCTACTTTGAAAATGAAATGTTAATTTAATTATGTAATAATAAAATAACTGAATTTTTTAAGAATCATCATAAGATTATTTTGAAGAACCTTGTATTAGTAAGGATGGGATAGTAAAATAAGAATTATAGGTATTTAATTTAGTAAAAGAATGAGATTGCAACAATGTGCAGCAATAATATTTTTAAAAATAATTTTAATTTAATAACTAGAGTACAATGATACCCAATATGATATAGCCAATTTTTTAGATAAAGATAATATTAGCCTAGAAGAAAGACATATACTTCTTAAAAAGGTATATATTAAAGATACCTATGATAAATATTTTATTTAATAATAGATTTATATTCCACCCCTTAATTTTCAATATCTCCAAACTTTATGTGCTAATCGAAAGTTAAAATTTCAAAATAGCTATTTTACAAAGTGGTTATGGCTAGCATACTCCATCCGAAACAGTGGAGCATATTGCAAAATATGTGTACTGTTTAGACCACGATATGCTGGCATAAATCTAGTTAAGCTTAACACTCTTGTTAAGACTCCTTTCAATAAATACAAAGATGCGGGGGAGATTTTTGACAATCATCAGAAAACAAATTATCACAAAAGCTGTGAACTGATGATTTCCTCAAAAGAATCAATTCAAAAGGGGGATATGATTCCCATTTCAGCAATAATTGATAAAAATAGGGTTAAAATTGCAAAAGAAAATAGAGGCAAGATAAAACTAACTATTGAGGCTATTTTATATTGTGGCTTGCAAGGCCTAGCACTTCGTGGCCACAAGTATCCAGGAAGCTTAAATTTTTATAATAATGATAACGAAGGTAATTTCCGTGGACTTTTAAAATTTAAAGCATTAGGAGATCCTGTATTAATGGAGAGCCTCATTAGTATCAATAAAAATGCTACTTATCTCAGCCCTAGGATATAAAATGAGATAATTGATATTTGCAACAATATCATTTTAGAAAAATTGATTGTTGAAATCAATTCTGCCCCATGCTTCTCAATTTTGGCAGATGAGACCACAGACATTGCTGGCATTGAGCAGATGTCGTTGTGTGCGCGATATGTAGATACTCATAAAAACATTATCAAGGAAATGTTTCTCCAATTTATTCCTGTTTCAAGCATGACTGGGTCTGCTTTAGCTGATATAATATTTGTGAATCTTAAAAAATTATAAGTAATAATTAATCTTATTATATAATTCTTTTCAAAAATATAGCTAAATATAAATATGATACGTGGGCAAGGGTATGATAGAGCACGTGCAATGAGTGGACAATTCAATGGGCTTCAGGCATTTATTTAAAAAAAATGCCCAACCGCTATATATGTCTATTGTGCTGCCCATTCACTCAATTTAGCAATATCGGATTCATGTTCTTTACCATTGATATCAAATTGCTTAGGTTTTTAATTATTAAAATTAAATTTTCTATATTTATATCAGGTAAAATATCTAGCATCTATGAGATGTTTAGATACCCCAAGCGTCAAAATATTTTGAACAGAATTATATCTGAAACTCCTTGCCCAACAAGGAGAAAAAAATTGCAAAAAGCTTGTCCAACAAGATGGAGTCTTCGACATCAAGCAGTAACAGCTTTTATCGAGTTAGAAGAGCCGATTATTAATGCTCTTACAGAAATATCACAATGGTCTGAAAGAGATATTTCTTCAGAAGCAAGCAAGTTACTGGATTCAATACTTATACCAAATTTTTTTTTCGCATTAGAATGTATTAATAAATTATTTAATTATACAACTATTTTATGTAATACTTTTCAAAAACCTGATATTGATTTGATTGAGATGATGAGAATAGCAGAGACAATTTTATTAGAACTCAAAGAAATTAGAGCTAATGCTGATGAGGAATTTCATATTTTATATGTTAATGTTGAATCAAAAGCAGAGCTATATGAGTTCAATATTTGTCTCCCTCGACTTGCAGTAAGGCAAACCTATCGTCCAAATATTAATATAGGGTCAATAGAAGAATATTATAAAATAAATATACCTCTTTTGGATACATTTATAACCCAAGTAAATGAAAGGTTTTTAAATCATCAAGAAGCACTAATTAATCTGCAGATATTACTTCCGCAAAAGCCCTCTGAACCTTTTTCAGATGGTGATAGAAAAAAAATAAAATATTTGAAAGATTTTTATCATGAAGACATTAATGTATCTCATGATGCTTTATTAGCTGAATGCCAACTATGGTATAAAAGATTAACTATGGTTGATATAGTCCCAAAAAATGCTATGGATGCTTTGCATCATTTCAAACATCTTTTAGATTATTTTCCCAATATATTGAAACTATTATATATATTAGCAACTCTTCCCATTAGTATTGCAACTAATGAGAGAACATTATCTTCTTTAAGAAGATTAAAAACGTACCTAAGAAGTACAACTTTTGAAAGTAGGTTGAATGGTCTGGCCCTTTTGAATATTCATAGGCATTTGACCCCAAACACGGATGAGATAATTGAAAAATTAGCCCACTCCCAACGAAAATTGGATTTTACATTATAAAAGTATAATGTTTCTATAATATTTTTTGTGCTATCATTTTTTAATGTCATATATTTTTCTTTTACATAAAAAATATAATTATTCATATTTCCAACATTTAGATTTTTTATACTTTATATATAAATTTTAAAGGCTCAAAAAAATATAAATTTCTATTATGGATTATTTATTTTATAGTCATCATATCCATCTACTAAATATTTTATAATTCAGATTTATTTAAAGTATTTATATGCCGCCGGTTATATCCGTTTAATATTTTTTAAATCAAATTTATTTTTATATACCGGTTTATATATTTAATTTTTTATAATTCATATTAATTTAAATTTGTATATTAGAAATAGTTATTAGTCCTAATAAATTTATGCTTGATATTTTTAAATAACAATAATTTTATTTTAAAAAAATTTAATTATCCCCCCCCCCACACCAAATTCCTGCGTACGCTACTGGAAAACCAGTATTTTTAAAATTAGAAAACATAGTAGAAGGTTTTAAAAGAATTAAAAACCAGTATTTTTTAAATTAGAAAACATAGTAGAAGGTTTTAAATTTTTAAATTTAGAAAACATAGTAGATGGTTTTAAAAGAATTAGAAAACC